TGAGATTTCAAATAATATTATCAACTGATGTTTACCATATTATATTCAAACTATTCAAAAGAAGATATGACTACATAACAAGCTACATCTTGAACCTTGTACTTTATGTGTACATCTGCTGCCACCAGTGAAAAAGCATTTATGATGCATTTTACAAGGTCCATCCAAGTAAATACTGGGTACTTCATTTTGTTAAAAATATTCACATCACAGTGTCCATTACAAGGGGAAAACAGCTAGTGTTTAAAAGTACAACAACACATAGTTACTTCAAGCTGACACACATGGTATATTGTATACGAATATATTAAACTACACTGTAGCATATACCATTTAATTTCCAGGTCAAATTATATCGTGTAAATTTAAACTGTTTCAAACTCAGCTACCTTACAAATATCAAACTTTCTCTTGAAAAAAGTTACTGTACCATTATCAAAACTGTTCCCAGCTACGGCTGCCATACCAACATCTGCAATTAAGTCACTATACCAATATCAAACTGTTCCCAACAATCACCAGTGTAACAATATCAAACTGTTCCATACTATCACCACTGTACCAATATCAAACTGTTCCAAACTATCACCACTACCAATATCAAACTGTTCCAAACTATCGCCACTGTACCAATATCCAACTGTTCCATACTATCACCACTGTACCAATATCAAACTGTTCCAAACTATCACCACTGTACCAATATCAAACTGTTCCAAACTATCACCACTGTACCAATATCAAACTGTTCCAAACTATCACCACTGTACCAATATCAAACTGTTCCCAACTATCACCACTGTACCAATATCAAACTGTTCCAAACTGTCACCACTGTACCAATATCAAACTGTTCCACACTATCACCACTGTACCAATATAAAACTGTCCCCATCTATCACCACTGTACCAATATCAAACTGTTCCAAACTATCACCACTGTACCAATATCAAACTGTTCCAACTATCACCACTGTACCAATATCAAACTGTTCCAAACTATCACCACTGTACCAATATCAAACTGTTCCAAACTATCACCACTGTACCAATATCAAACTGTTCCAAACTATCACCACTGTACCAATATCAAACTGTTCCATACTATCGCCACTGTACCAATATCAAACTGTTCCAAACTATCACCACTGTACCAATATCAAACTGTTCCATACTATCGCCACTGTACCAATATCAAATATCAAACTGTTCCAAACTATCACCACTGTACCAATATCAAACTGTTCCCAACTATCACCACTGTACCAATATCAAATTGTTCCAACTATCACCACTGTACCAATATCAAACTGTTCCAAACTATCACCACTGTACCAATATCAAACTGTCCCCATCTATCACCACTGTACCAATATCAAACTGTTCCCAACTATCACCACTGTACCAATATCAAACTGTTCCCAACTATCACCACTGTACCAATATCAAATTGTTCCAACTATCACCACTGTACCAATATCAAACTGTTCCCATACTATCACCACTGTACCAATATCAAACTGTTCCCAACTATCACCACTGTACCAATATCAAACTGTTCCCAACTATCACCACTGTACCAATATCAAACTGTTCCCAACTATCACCACTGTACCAATATCAAACTGTTCCATACTATCGCCACTGTACCAATATCAAACTGTTCCATACTATCGCCACTGTACCAATATCCAACTGTTCCAAACTATCACCACTGTACTATCACCACTGTACCAATATCAAACTGTTCCATACTATCACCACCACTGTACCAATATCAATATCAAACTGTTCCAACTATCACCATCACCACTGTACCAATATCAAACTGTTCCAAACTATCACCACTGTACCAATATCAAACTGTTCCCAATTATCACCACTGTACCAATATCAAAATGTTCCCATCTATCACCACTGTACCAATATCAAACTGTTCCAAACTATCACCACTGTACCAATATCAAACTGTTCCCAACTATCACCACTGTACCAATATCAAACTGTTCCCAACTATCACCACTGTACCAATATCAAATTGTTCCAACTATCACCACTGTACCAATATCAAACTGTTCCATACTATCACCACTGTACCAAAATCAAACTGTTCCCAACTATCACCACTGTACCAATATCAAAATGTTCCCATCTATCACCACTGTACCAATATCAAACTCTTCCATACTATCACCACTGTACCAATATCAAACTGTTCCCAACTATCACCACTGTACCAATATCAAACTGTTCCAAACTATCACCACTGTACCAATATCAAACTGTTCCCAACTATCACCACTGTACCAATATCAAACTGTTCCCAACTATCACCACTGTACCAATATCAAACTGTTCCCAACTATCACCACTGTACCAATATCAAACTGTTCCCAACTATCACCACTGTACCAATATCAAACTGTTCCCAACTATCACCACTGTACCAATATCAAACTGTTCCCAACTATCACCACTGTACCAATATCAAACTGTTCCCAACTATCACCACTGTACCAATATCAAACTGTTCCCAACTATCACCACTGTACCAATATCAAACTGTTCCCAACTGTCACCACTGTACCAATATCAAACTGTTCTACACTATCACCACTGTACCAATATCAAACTGTTCCAAACTATTACCACTGTACCAATATCAAAATGTTCAATGTTCCAAACTATCACCACTGTACCAATATCAAACTGTTCCCATACTATCACCACTGTACCAATATCAAACTGTTCCCAACTATCACCACTGTACCAATATCAAACTGTTCCATACTATCGCCACTGTACCAATATCAAACTGTTCCAAACTATCACCACTGTACCAATATCAAACTGTTCTACACTATCACCACTGTACCAATATCAAACTGTTCCAAACTATTACCACTGTACCAATATCAAAATGTTCCCATCTATCACCACTGTACCAATATCCAATATCACCACTGTATCAAACTGTTCCAACTATCACCACTGTACCAATATCAAACTGTTCCCAACTATCACCACTGTACCAATATCAAACTGTTCCCAACTATCACCACTGTACAAATATCAAACTGTTCCAAACTATCACCACTGTACCAATATCAAACTGTTCCCAACTATCACCACTGTACCAATATCAAACTGTTCCCAACTATCACCACTGTACCAATATCAAACTGTTCCCAACTATCACCACTGTACCAATATCAAACTGTTCCAAACTATCGCCACTGTACCAATATCAAACTGTTCCAAACTATCACCACTGTACCAATATCAAACTGTTCCCAACTATCACCACTGTACCAATATCAAACTGTTCCCAACTGTCACCACTGTACCAATATCAAACTGTTCCCAACTATCACCACTGTACCAATATCAAACTGTTCAATGTTCCAAACTATCACCACTGTACCAATAACAAACTGTTCCCAACTATCACCACTGTACCAATATCAAACTGTTCCCAACTATCACCACTGTACCAATATCAAACTGTTCCCAACTATCACCACTGTACCAATATCAAACTGTTCTATCACCACTGTACCAATATCAAACTGTTCCAAACTGTCACCACTGTACCAATATCAAACTGTTCCCAACTATCACCACTGTACCAATATCAAACTGTTCCAAACTATCACCACTGTACCAATATCAAACTGTTCAATGTTCCAAACTATCACCACTGTACCAATATCAAACTGTTCCCAACTATCACCACTGTACCAATATCAAACTGTTCCCAACTATCACCACTGTACCAATATCAAACTGTTCCCAACTATCACCACTGTACCAATATCAAACTGTTCCCAACTATCACCACTGTACCAATATCAAACTGTTCCCAACTATCACCACTGTACCAATATCAAACTGTTCCCAACTATCACCACTGTACCAATATCAAACTGTTCCCAACTATCACCACTGTACCAATATCAAACTGTTCCCACTGTACCAATATCAAACTGTTCCCAACTGTCACCACTGTACCAATATCAAACTGTTCCCAACTGTCACCACTGTACCAATATCAAACTGTTCTACACTATCACCACTGTACCAATATAAAACTGTTCCAAACTATCACCACTGTACCAATATCAAACTGTTCCCAACTATCACCACTGTACCAATATCAAACTGTTCCCAACTATCACCACTGTACCAATATCAAACTGTTCCCAACTATCACCACTGTACCAATATCAAACTGTTCCCAACTATCACCACTGTACCAATATCAAACTGTTCCAAACTATCACCACTGTACCAATATCAAACTGTTCCCAACTATCACCACTGTACCAATATCAAACTGTTCCCAACTATCACCACTGTACCAATATCAAAATGTTCCCAACTATCACCACTGTACCAATATCAAACTGTTCCCAATTATCACCACTGTACGCATATCAAACTGTTCAAAACTATCACCACTGCACCAATATCAAATTGGGGGGCTGAAACCCAAGTTCATTCAAAACTGAGTCAACTTCAGCACCAAGGATACTTTAGTTTAACTTCAAACCAAATGAGCTAAAATCTTAATATGATTGCCTGCATCTAACAACAACTGTAACTGTTTTGACTGAAATATGATTATCAAGCTGGATAGGCTATCAGTATTTAACTTATATCCCTGATACATTGATATAACTATCTAAAGTGCTTTCACTCCACATATCACAATTAAAATGTGTTTAAATAGAACTATCACACTTCAATGTCTAAATTAAGATCTTCACAACATCCCTGTTCACTAAGAATCACCCTTATTTACTAACAATTCCTAATGGTCAACCTCCTATATCAATGCTCATAAAACCAAGCTTTTTTTCATTTGAAACCTTTTACCAAAATATGTCCAATATGGCTGATGAGATCATCTGGTTCTCCGCTTACTTTAGCATGAAATTATACCAAATCCAGCTGGCATCAAATGTAATCCGTACATTGTGTTGTATTTAGGTTTCTACCTCCCCTCCATAATCAACTGAACTATGACTGATGTGAGGTCTATGATGTCATCGCAGGGAATATGGGTGATTCTGCTTAACTCTTTAATTATCTATTTAGAAAAACAAAAACAACAATGGCATTCAATCTTTTTATATAATAGACAATTTCAGATTAGGCTTATCAACACAAGAACAAGAGTATTCAATTTGTTTAATGTTTCTTTTGGGAAGAGTATTATGGTAGAGTTCCACTGCTTGGTATTGCTTTTTCTACGAAAAAGAATTTTTAATTAGTTTTTGCACAGTTCTGCATTAAATTGAACAGTAGCTTCTATAAAACTATTTCGACAAAAGTGAACAAATAAGGAATTTTTTTCAAAGTAATTACCACTGATCAAACACTAAAATCAGAACTTAAAATTTGAATGTCACATATTCAGATTGTCTCCCTAGTTAAATATACATGTAATCACAAAACTAATAGTTTTTTATATCTGGTAGGTCCATATATTTCATAAGATCATCAATAATGTTATTAATAAAGCATAAAAAAGACTTATAAAAAACCAGTATGAGAATTTTATAAAGGCATCAAGCAGAAATTACATAAAATAGAAAATGTGGAGAGTAACCAAAAGAATTGACCACTGACATCAAACATCATAAGAACTGGCTGAAAGAATAAGCAGTATGGTTTCCAGATTGGGGCATAGCTCTCCAGAATATAATTTGCAGTGACCATGTTCAATTGTTTCCCGAAGTTCATGCACAGATAAGGACTTTCTTTCAAGACACAAACCTGATGCATGTTAAAATCTTCAGTGTACTTTGTCATGATAACAAATAAGGCTAGTTAATGGCATTAAGCCTGTAACATGAATAGAGGAAAGACTTTCAAGTTTGTTTAAGGCAGGACCTTGACCCACTTTCAAGATTACAAGGGTCAACTAAGTTGAAATATGTAGATGAATTCATCTCAATAACCAAGATGCCCAGGATATTGACATTAGGCCTGTACCATGCTGAGATGAAGGGCTACCATATTTTTGATGCATGCTTTACCAACATTCAAGATCACAGGGATCAAACGTGTTAAAAGCATGCAAGGACAAAGGGCTACCAAATTTGTTATTTGTGTCTAGTTTCATAATGTAGTACCATGTATCATCCACATAATTTTTATGCAAAATTCTGGCAAGTTCATGCAGACCTTTAATTGTCTGGTAAGATTTAGCATCAAATAAATGTATATGTAATTTTGCCTAGGATTGTTGCAACTGAAGAAATTAAAACCTGCAAGAAGTATTGTGCTGTCTTTCTCTGATAAAAAGCATTACTATCTAATATGACTGATGGTGGTCTAACTAAAAGACAATATAAAATGTGAAGATGATATTCTGTTTCAGGAAAATTACAAACCTTGTCTGATAACAGTTGGTCAGCTAAGTAGACAGAGGACCCTATTACTGATACTGCCAGCAGCATTTTGTCAGCTTTGACTGCCATGTATTTCTTCCTATATAAACTGAAAAATTCAGTAACATACAAAATGATAACTTCATGGTGAACAAAACATACAAAATATAGTTAATATATACTTATCATGTCAGGTTGGAAATGATGCAAACTTGCAACCTTATAATTGTGTATAGTTTAATAAACAGAGTAGAGCACTTTGACTTATCTATAAATGCATTTTCCTTCAAAAACTTCATTCATATTTGTGAAAACGAAACATTCTCTTCCACTAGAATAATTAACAATATTTGATAGCCAAAAAATCTTTCTATAAAACATGTTGAATTTTCTCGAGCTAAAAATGGCTTTTATCATGGATTTACAAATTTTCATATGGCCGAGGATGTTAGCTTGACAGTTAGTTACTATTAGATGACTCTAAACATCAATAGAAACCCCACTCACCTGTCTTTGTTTTGTGGTGAAAGGGCCGTTACCTCAAACAGGAATTTGTACACATCAGAATACTTAATGTAGACAACTGTTAACACTTGCATGGCCACAGCATGATAAACCTTCACTTCTGTCTCATGGTCGTTGTGCCCTGCATAGAAAATAGTGTCCTTGTCAAGTAATCAATAATAAGTAACCATTAAGTAGAGCACAAGGGAACTATAAAACAATGAGAAATATAACTTTATACATGTATGTATCAAATGATGCTTTTTTCAAGCCTGCTCCTCATAGCTTGACTTTTAGTAGACACATTGCATGATTTTTCAAAATTATCCCTTTCAGTATCTATACACTTTTGCCAGCAATGTTTAAGGGCCACATTGCCACTTTTAAAGAAGTCCATTTCTTGACCATTCACAAAGTCTTTTACTGCCTGCACGACATCACCATCTAACCAAAAGTGGGTATCGGTATTGGCCTTTTTCAATTTTGGAAATAGGTAAAAGTGTGATGGACATCAGGCAAATAAGGATGATGCTAAATCTATTCAAAGCTACATGGGCTAATGGCAGCCCTGGCAATGACAGACAGGTGAACAGAGTCATTGTCGTGGTGGAACAACACACCTTTACTGAGTTTTCCGCAGTGCTCGAGTATAGTATTTTCTCTAAACTGCTTAGGCAATGATGCATAATATGTGTAATTGATTGTTTGTCCATTTTGCAGATAATCTACCATCAAAATACCATCGGAATCCTAGAAAACAGAGGTCATAACCTTTCCAGCTAGTAGAACAGTCTTTGCCTTCTTTGGCATGGGTGAACCATTGTGCTTCCAATGTTTAGACTGTTGCTTGGCCTATTGAGTGAAATGATGGGCTCGCATTTCATCCATTGTCACAAACCTTTACAGGAAGTTAGCAGGACCAGCCTCTAAAAGGATCAGATTTGGATACGACAAAGTTCACCTGGTGTGCTTCTAATCAACTGTCAGAAGTACCAAACAGGCTGAGAGCTTTCTCATTCCAAGATCTTTTGTGAGAAAGGAATGTACTGTATGTACCCGACAATAAGACACACTTTTTTCCCATCAAAATTCAATTTGAAGTAGTAGGGTGCATCTTATAAGCAAGATATAACAATCACATCCTAAAATTTTCACACGAAAACAGCATTCGGAGTGGCAGAAATACTGACTTCAAGGGCCATATATGACTTCAAGGTTTTACCGATGGAAAATGGTCAGAAGAGATAAAGAAGTCAAACTACAGGATTTGCCATAAAGAAATTTAAACAGTAAACGTTAACTTACAACAAAATTTCTTTACTTGCTTAAAATATGTAAATAAACTGTAAAAAGTAAACATGCTGAGTTTGTTATTCATTACGGACGCCAAATTGAGATCGTTTAGATTGCGACCCTGTATAACGTATGCGGGGTATTCTTTCTTTCTCTTGGAAAAAATAAATCATAAAACTAGTATACAAGTTATAATAAGTTAATTAATTACTCGTTATGATTATTATTATTCAAAATATTGCCTTTTGGGATTGTAATTCAAGACGATTTTGAGAAATAAATGTAATTTGACTATCATGTGGCTTCGTTTTTTGTCAAACAAATTAATGACACCCGATTGCTGACAACAACATCACGAACCTGATTACATTTCGTCTTGTGTCTATAAATGTGTTACGTGGATCTTTACCCTTTCAACACTAATTATAAACACAGGCATGTGTCAAACTGTGACAGTTTGAGGAGGGTTCTTTTCACAGTGTTGATTGCTGTGAAAACGCCGCCTTTTCGAGAAGCCATTTAGCATTACCGATACCCCAACCATGTTTGCACAAAGTTGTTTCTGATTGGGTGAAATGTGTTGATGGGCTGGACTACTAGTTGAATGACGTTGACATTTCCAAAATCTCATTATTTGATTGGCCAAATTTTGAAGATGGGTTGTATTGCTGATAAATACTTTGTTATTAGTAAGGGAATAGTAGAGTTGGAAAAGGACATCCCTTCTTAACTTCTTCAATACATGGCTCACAACTTATCAATTAGCCCTCATATATTGTAAGCTTTTCAAGGAAAATGTTGATTATTCAAAATAAAAATATACTGAACCCCATGATTTTTACTAATTCCTGATAAACAACATGAGTATTTTTGACTATGTATATCAGAATGAAAAATGTAATTATACCTAGAATTTCCAGTAAAGTCTCTATATAGGTGAGGGTGGAAGGTATGGTCACATTGTAGTTCAATGTTTTGAGAACTCTGAGTTCAGACTGCAGAATACCATCAGCAGTGTAACGATGGCCACAACAATCTCGAAGAAATCTCCTTGCCTTCAATGCAGATACTACCTAAAATGAAATTATGATCGTGTAGAAACATATTGTGAAATCTACTACAGGACTGAAAAATTTCAGTTCTCAAAATGAAACATTAATAAAGAGTGTCATGTCCATCGTAAAGAAGAGTTTTTTTCATTTACTGCTCACAACAACAATGGTCGAAGGTCCAACCATAAGGTAAGTTGATCAGTTATCCTAGAAATTAAATGAAATTCTCATGTTTGGATCACTGATCAAGACTGAGGAAAATGAATCCACTCCGTTTACTTTGCAGACAAACATAATTGTTTATACTGATCTTTGTATCAGGATGTAGAATGCTTCCTACGAGATGTGTCAGAACATACACGAGCATCAGAAGGACACCAATGTGAATACTTATGGATAAGAGAGTGACAGACAAAATTAGGAATGTTTATACAGCTGTCATTATACTCTAAACATAAAGAATACTTCCAATGTGAAAAGGAAGCTTACTTCAAATCTTCTATGTGAAGAGGTAGCTGTGTAGAGCTTGTTTCATTATCCTCAGTCTCCTCAAATGAATCACAAGTATTCTTAGAATCATTATTACATTGAATGTCATCCCTTGAGTCAAGTCACAGATCTTTTAAAGTAACAATGACCATGACCTTTGACAATTGGATGTGAAAAGAAATCCCAAGAATCTAATTTCAATCTTCAAGAATATACTGACATGATGAATCCAATCAATCTGATTTTGTTATCTAGAACTACTTTTATTTTTGTGAGGAAAAAGAAACAAGAAACAAGTATTTGACTCAGAAAGTTCTTAAAATCTACCTTATAATGTGAGGTCAATTTGCTAGCAATTTGACAACAGGATACAGCACGAAGCTTCAACTGGTTCTTGATTCTATCAAGAAGAGCCTTCCAGTCAGCTTGACGGTGCTTGCTTTCACTTTGGGTCACATGATTATATAAGTCCTTTATATGTTGTACCATAAATCTGCACAAACAGAAAGAAAAGAATTTCACAACAGATAATTAATCAAAATAATATGTCTATATGTGGGTCCTGGTTCTTGTAAAGTGCTAAAATATGTTACAAACTATATTTGTTTGCAGCTAGCAGTGTCTGTAAAATTTTCTTTTAACAACTCATTTGAAACTTTTCTTACTCTTGACATTTCACATCATTTTCTTTCAAATTGACATATGTGTAAGATCCCCTCTCCTAATTATCCACAAATCAATACTAAAATATGGTATACACACTCATGACAAGTAGATGTTTTAATGGACATGAGCAAACTGCAGAACACAAGTAAACATAGAGTTTGATCATCTGATAATGATGAATCAATTTTTTTCTTTTAAATTACCTGCATACTCAATTTCTTTAATTAATTGGCACACATTCCGAACTCTGAAAAAACTATACATATATTTTGATTGTTTAATTCATTATTTCATACACATAATAATGTGTTACATTTTGAATTAAATCCTTCTTAACAATGTATAATCTCCTTAATGAAACAGTGATTTAGGCAATTGGTAAATAAGGATAGAAATTAACAGCCATATAAAGGAAGTCCAGTTTCACAAGTTCAATTCTGTATATGTCCACTATTCACAATGATGTGCAACAAATATCTGCAACACATGAAACCGATCAAATTACACAGAAATTCTTGAGTAATGTTCTTCCATATGACAATGTTCAATTTGATATGTCAAATGTTACAAGAAGATTTTGGCCTTGACACAGAAACTGCATTGTTCCTTCCAAAACATGCTCCATGAAGACAAATCTGGTGACAAAGCAGGCCATCAGGTAGCATGGTGATGTTCTTCTGCTGCAGATATGTCTTGACAACACATATGGTATGTGCGATTTACTGCTGTATTTCAGTAAAATAGAAGAAATTGATGACATATAATTTCTTCATAGTAGCACATACGAGTATGGTTATAACATTTTAACTAATGGGGTCCTTCCATGCAAAAGTGTTTGCAAATGTGAGATTCAAACCTAACAGGAGGTTTCTGCCAGAAAGTACACTCACCACTAGACAGTATTAAGGCTTACACGATTTTGTTTTTGGGGAGAAACTAATAGACACTTGGGAAAAATCAGGAAATACCCTGAGCGTATTGTGAAAGAAGAATACAGTGAGCTGAACCATAGCATTTGAACCATAATATATCAACCCATGGATTGACGTTGCACCACTACTCTGTTAGTGACTCGCAGATATCTACTGCACCATGCTAAGCATGCAGCTCTTGTGATGTTGAAACAAACTGGACAGACATCTGGACATCCTGGGGAGATGATGCATGGCATTTCACAATCTGTTATACAGTTCTAGATCTGATCCATCACAATCCTGGACGGCTTGAAGCAGTCAATAAAGAGGACTGGAACCACTTATTAAATACGACATCCATATATACATGCATTGCTGATGTGACATGACAAGGGGATGTCCTGTCTGTATGTACTCTCTTATTAGACTGCTGAAAGTCACTACAGGACAATCAAACCAGCTTTTCATACAAATAATATTACAAGCTCAAAATGTATTCCAAGTTTAGCCACTTTATATATATTTATATAATCTTCTATTTATTCAATTCAATATTACACTAATGGAATGATTTTTCAAAATGTATTTATAATTTGACCTTACAAACTGACAAATATGCAGTATTAATAAATTTATCTTCAAAAACAAGTTATGAAATTATAAAGTTACCTATCAAATGTTTCCAATGCAAGGTATTTTGCTTCTGGTGACATCTTAAACTGGTCACAGGTATTGAAGACAAATTCTGCAAAGTCACCAGTCTTGAACAGACCCTGCTGATTACAAAATTCAATAATGTTATATGTATATGCATTTGTAATGTTGGCAACAAATAGTTTGATTCTGTAATTCTATATGTTGGTCAGAATGCCAAACCAATAAGCAAACATGAATAGAAAAATGCACATTTCACAAAATAACTTATAAATGTAATTCCTATACATGTGAGGAACTAAAAATGTACATTTTGAAACCTAAAATTTTACATAGCAAACGATACAGAAGTACTGGATGTTTGATTGTGCAAAAGTTTCATTTAAATGAATTCTTCGTAAAAAAAAAGAAAAATACTATATGGTTCAAAACAACAAATGAAAATGAAACTACACATACAAAGTGTGACTTGAAACACATCATATTGTTTCTCCATATTGTCAGACTTGATTCATTTATGAGATTTATGTACTTGTATGTATACATATACCTCTTGTGAAGAAGAACATGCCACTCTCCTGTTATTCATAGAAGCCAGCGAAATTAGCCATTCTTGAAGAATATCTGCTGTCACAGCTGTGAATCTGTCATTAAACAAAGGTTCCTCAGGAGTCCCAAAGATTCTATCCATAGCTAAAATTCTAAAAATTTCAGTATAAGTATGAAGAACTAAGTAAGCATACCTGACAATATATACATTATATTCTTTTGTCTCACACTACCCATTCTACATTTTTACATCCATGTTATTCTGTGCATGCATGCAGAATGACTTAAAATTTAAATTGTACATGTTGACTTGAAGTTAAAGTTGGAGGAAAAGAACTTAAGCAACTAAAATGTATTTAGCGCTGCACCGAACAAAGGATGTGCTCTGTTTGTAACCTGGGTTATACTTATTCTAAATACACAAAACCAGACTTTGATTGAAATTGAAATATGCCATTTATTAAAATAACAAATGATGACAGAAAATATGACTATTACAATTTCCATAAACAGTACAGTAATCAACTGTACTTAATGTTATCCAATCAGAGATATCCTAAAAAGCATACCCAGGACTACAAAGATGGGGATCAAATTACGCCATCATATAACCATGCAATTCCATTAATGTTTGAATAAATTGCTCGCTATATCCCCGTCCACATATAATGTATATCAGGTGGAATTAGCATTGATGTTAAAGAATGTAAACATTAAGAGGTAAGAGATGATATGTTGATAAACAGCATGTACATGTCATATGACATGCTCAATAACATCTAATTTTCTAAAAAAAAATCCTTGGTGTAGCACCGGGTATATATACAAAACAATTACAACTGCCTAATAGTAGGTCTCCTGTTGATAAACAGCATGTACATGTCATATGACATGCTCAATAACATCTAATTTTCTAAAAAAAAAAATCCTTGGTGTAGCACCGGGTATATAAACAAAACAATTACAACTGCCTAATAGTAGGTCTCCTGTTGATAAACAGCATGTACATGTCATATGACATGCTCAATAACATCTAATTTTCTAAAAAAAATTCCTTGGTGTAGCACTGGGTACATATACAAAACAATTACAACTGCCTAATAGTAGGTCTCCTGATTGATGCTAAAATTTAAACAGAATTGACACAGTCTAAAAATATAGTACAATAGTTAAGGTATAGCAATCCCACCCATAAATGTCGAACGTGCTATGTAAACAATAGACACTTTACCTTATATTCTTTATCTGTTTATTCTGTTTTTATCTTTCTGCAGCTTTTTCTGATGCGTCCTTATACAGATCTCTTCTCAGAAACATGGATAACCTTTATGAAAAACAAAAATGGGTGGGGGTACAAATTGTATGTTATGTATGGTAATGGTGGGAACACATTAAAAACACAGGTACTTGTGGACTCAATTCCAATCGCACCTAAAAATAACAAACAACACAATGTTTTTTTTTAAATCGAGTCTACAAGTATCGTCTCCAAATCGGTTAGGACTGTTATGCATTTTTTAGTTACCATTTTGTCATGCCGTTTCACATGAACTTCACACCCAGATGCTTTTATTTGCCGTAACATATCATGCTTCCAGAAAGAATAAAACAATTGTTATTTACACACACTGACATAAAATATTATGAGTATATATTTCATTGACAAATTTGTGTATTTTTTCTTAATACATATTTATACATGGTGAACATCCTCCAAGATATGATAAATTAACCTATTGACCCAACCTCGGATGCCAATGTTTTGTTGACAATGAATAAAAGATCACACTTTCATGAAATTTTGGGATATGAAAGTCCAAACAAGCATGTCTTACATTGAAAAAAATGATGATTTTTAAGTTATCACTTTTGAGGCCTCATTTAGTATTTTATTTAACAAGCAAAAAATCAACTTTAATTTATATCCTTTGTGTTATAAAAAAAGAAGTTTATCAAGAAATACGAGGATATATATGAGGTAATAGGATTATACAATAAAAACTTGCATCTAACCCTTTAGATAAGATGCACATATAAACACAGATATCCACCACTTTTGCACCATAAATTTATTTATTTATTATTTTTTTTTTTTTCATTATTTTCAACAAAACATAATTCCAGTCCAAATGATGATTTTATCTAATACATGTGTACTTCGGGGTCACTGTAAGCTAACTCAAGGGTCTGTATGATTTAGTGATATATGTGCAGTCACGTGCAAATGTTCGATACAGATGTCGGTCATTTCAGGTGAGCGAATTTGAAGTCGGACCGATTGATAAATTTTTAAGAAAAATATTTGTGTTTCATCGACCATTTTTTAAAATAGATTTTATAATATGAATACATTTTAGTTCATATAAGTATTTTTTTGATGGAAAATCATCGACATAGCGTAGCTACCGCGAAATGATTCTTAAGGGGTTTAAAACTAATGCGCCAATGATACCTTTGATAACAAACATGGAATCTACATCCTGGCGGAGTCTAGGAAGAGTGGTTTTTGGCTGTACCAGTTAAACGTTGTTAAACGAGCAACCATATGATATTTTTACCGAAACTTGTAAGATTTGTACTGTGTTTCTATTAGCCTTTCAACGGTTCTCTCGATGTCTTCATCGTACAACATAGCTGTTCGAGAAGGCTAGCAGACGACTTTGACTGCTGTCAGAAAAAGTGCTAACTTAAAGAAATACCTTAAATTAGAATTGAAATGTAAGGTAATTTAATTCACTTTTATGTCACTGAAACTTAAATGTCAGCTCATAAAATACTCACAAGTTCTGATGTTCTGATTATAAAACAAAAATCATATCATTCTAAACAAGTGCGTCGCCATCTTGAATGAAAAGACATATATTATCGACTACTTTTACCTTTTTCCACAAAGTTGCATATGGTGTATATACAAAATAGATCGCGGGTCTATTAAAAATTTGCAAAGGTGTTCGACGCTCCACAGAGGCATGCTTATTTTATTTCATTTGTAGATATGTTTAATCTTTGACATTACCAACACTACATCCGAAATATCGTGTTATGTTTTAGGTCTATAAAACATTGCCTTGGGTACCGCTGCTCCGGCATCTAAATGATACAATACAAATAACATTTCAGCTTTTCGCCCAAACAAAAAATATGTTTGATAACTAAAAATATTTTGTTAAATTTATGAACAAGAAACAATCAAAGAACATGAATACGTGATAACAATAATCATTTAAGTATTTAATGAATAAAGGTTTCCCGGTGACTAATATGTTCAATTGAGTAACATTTTGGTAATCAGATTGTTTCATTTCAATTGTCACATTATAATCCGGCTGTTATTCAATGAATCCCCACCTGTAATATTTGTGTATAAACATTTCACTATTGTAAAACATTTTTATTGGCTGCACCAGTCAGAAATCGATTGTGATGTCAAAACATGAACAATGACGACACGTCATGAACTGAAAATGGCGCAAAAAAAAAGGGGGGGGGGGCTGCTTCCGTCCGAATTTGTCCACCTCATTGTAACTTTAAAACCTGTCATGACTTACCTTTTTTATGTGTGTGATATAAAATCACGTGAGATTTGTTTCCGGCATTGCCCATAATCGACTCGTAATCAACTCTCATACGAAATGAACACCCGTTTTAAAATTGTATATATTTTCCGTGATAGCCATCAGATGGACAAGGCTGATAGTGTTACGATGTAGTTACAAAAACTACGTTTTAGGACCAGAATAGCATTTAATGTCTCTATATTTCAGGGATACACTGACTTTAATCAATGACTGTATACAAATTTACGTTTCAAATCTGAGTCGTTAGTGCATTAAAATATTATTACAAACAAGCACCTGCATCAATAGTAAATATGTCGTACATTTACAAGTGCAGCAGCAAGCTGGGACAAAAAACTGTGATGTTATAGAAACGGAAAGTTATCTTTACAACGCATGTCCGTTCTCCAAGTCCTGTTTCGAAGGTGTATATAGAATTACTTACATAAAAAATGTCCGAGACACCGATCTTTACAAAACTAGTCTATTTTTCCAAGTAACGGAATAAAGACATTGTGTCCAAGATATTGTTTTTACCGTATTTCACGAATCTGTGATAGCCTTGTCTCATGAGGAAAACCAGTTTGTTTTCCTTCTGTACAAACTTTTCTAAAAGACAGAAAAGTCTGTTGTAAAAAACTTCCTTTCCTTTTTCATTCTTTCCTTTGTATAGTTTTTTCTGACTTCCATATTCTTGTCCTCTAAGTGTACACGTCGTATTTACGTTTGTCATCACTGTCGTGTTTATAGCAAAATGTGTTAGAATGGAGAAGGCATTAATAAGTTTTGATAACTGATGCCTAATCCGATTGTGAGAGAATTGAATATGTTTGAATCGGATCGAATTCAATCGACACTATTTTTCAGTACATAAATATATTTGATACATTTTGTTGTTTGCATTTAACGTTTAGATTGAAACATTGAATGATTTGATGATCCAGAATTCCAAACATTAAACAAAATTTAATCGTCAGGAATGTAGCTGACTACGGATCGTTTGATATGTCATCGTCCTTATTATCTTATAAGAAGTTTTGTTTGTTTTTTTTTTTTTTTTTTAATTTTGTTTTCCTTGCTGGAATCTGACGCAAGTATTGTTTGGTTGACACTGTAGACTAAATTTTGGGGAAAAAAGAGGCGAATCGATATGAAAAATAAACATATTTAATGAATAAATAATCAACATAGATACCAGATGCCCGTAGTAAAAGCCACGTAGTTGAAATTTACAAATCCAGACTTGGTTATCAGCAAAAACACTTTCCTTCCTTATTTTTAAACCATCATTTCTAGATTATCATTGACATCAAAGTAATACATGTACATATAATAGTAGCATAGAAATGTTCATTACATTTAATTGAAACTAAATTAAAAGTGCATGCGATCTACAAGTACCTGCATATTAAATAAGTCATCTCCAACCTTATTTCACATGATCAGGCAAATGCTGTCGATAATTTATTTGTAAATTGAAAACGATTTTTCCAATACGAAGTAAGGTACATGTATAATATACGAGTAAATAGTCGGAGAAATCTTCCGCCAAAAGGATTTTTTATCAGAAATAAATTACACATTGTACCTATATTGTTATGTATCTGAACTCACTGAGAGCCTGTAGATATAACTCTTATTTCCAGTTCCTTCTGGTTGGAGATCAGTTGTGAAAGATGTATTGTTCATGACGATTGTTTTTAAATTTATGGATTCAACATTCGACTTATTTGTAGAACTAATGTTTGCCTTAAAAAAATAGTAAAGGTTTTGTAAATAATCACTATTTGTGGAAATTACTGTATGGTTGAATTTGCCGCAAAAACGGGTTATCTTGCGCAGCGCACTGTACCCATTATCGCGATTTTAAAAATCTGTGTATAAATCAAAGATAGTTCCGATCAATATGTTTTTTTCTTTAAAAAAGTGTTATCAATGCAAAGGAGAATGTTTAATTTTTTTAGTGAAATATTTTTATGTTGATACTATATGTTTATAATTGATAATCGTAAGTAGTTTTCTTACATTAGTTGGTGCATGGTAAGGTTTTGAGACAAAATGTCTGCTAATGAAGGATTTCAATTAAGTTACAACTTCACTAATGTTATATTTAACATGCTTTGTATAGTATTTAAAGTATCATTTGAAATGAAGTAATTAAATCACTCACAGAAGTTAAGATTTTCACAAAAAATAAATAAATAAATAAGAAGCTAACATGGTTTGTTATTGTTTTATATATATAACCTATTGTGACTAGATTCGAATTTATTTATCTAGATCGTAGATGCAAGTGTCGTCATTTTTGTCTTTGCGCGTGCATTGTGGCAGCAGAAAAATCTTGATAATGGGTACGTGACGATAATGGATCCACAACGTCGACTATTTCGGATTGATCCGTGAAGAAACTGTACTGTATTGTTACTGGTTCTCTCTGAAGTATTTACTTGTATCTCTAATGTCGTTTGAAGGAATTCATTTTGAAAACATACAAAGGGAACAATACTTATACAATGCATAAACGTTACAGAAAAAAAAATTCAGAGGATGAAAAATTTATATAAAGATTGAACACGCATACACCTTAAAGAATAAGCTACAGACAGAAAAATAATGTCTTTAATAATTACGTGTACTTGAAATATTACCAAGTGTTTATAAAGCGTTTATAAAATATGTGACATAGCAGCATAATCTCAACACAACAGGATGATTCGTGTGATATACAACAAATCTACAGCCTGCAGTAATCGCTCTAACACATCTAAAGCTGCAATTTTATCAACTAATCCCCGGCAGTCGTAGCATGAACAACTTTATGACATTAATCAAAACAATTCTGACCATAATTATTTTTAAAATTGAAAAGTATTTACATTCTTTTTTTAAATTAAGGGTTTAAGGGTACAGAAAGGATAACTCATTGCCAAGAACCACCGAACAATCTGGTAAGTTTTAGATAATGATAAGTTTTATCTTTTAAACCACAGGGTTTTTTTATCATATTTTAAATAACTAATATCACTATTGTTTTCATCTGCTGTTAAATCTATGTATTTTAATATCCTTCCATTGAACTTATCCACTCTAAAATGCTACAGTCACATTGTATATTGTATAAGAACATGAAACATTGTGACATTCTGTCGGTAGGACGGAACAATGAATAGTCTGTGTTATAAATTTTCAACTTTGTTTTTCCTGAAGCAGGCATACCAGCAACTAGAAATGATATAAAAAAATAAATGAGTTGTACATAAACAACAAGGCAAAGGATATATAATATCAATGTTAATGATAGTGCTCATTTTTAAAAAATGTGTGACGTAGATTTTTTCAACAAAAAAAGTGAAAAAATGATATTGAAATAAATCAATAAGAAATCATACCGAGATAAACAAATAAAAAAAGGTGTATATGATAACCTTTTCATTATTATTTTAAGAAATTTTATTAAGTTGTATCTTTTTTAAGTCTATTAAGTGTAAATTCACCCTTTTTCCTCAAACTCTTCTATTTCCTCAGGTCGGAGGTTGCGTCGTTCATATCTAGGTGTGGGTAATGTCCGGTCGGCCTGGGCACGCTGTAGAGCATTAAGCCACATCCTGAAGCAAAAATGTTCATTAGGTTCTCGTCCAAATTTCTGCGTGTACTAGCAACATATATCTTAAAACAGACCAAGAAAAGTATTCTTCGCTATACACAAATCTTTTCAGTTGAATTCATGTTTCATTCCATCACACAACGATATACCACGCACAGGTCGGTTCATCCGACACAGTTGTTATTGAAATCGTACTGAAATATCAGTTGTGCGTTATAGTTACTTTGGATTGGACCACTTAGCCTCAATATTAATATCGCCGGCTATATTTTATCGTCTTTACCATAATGTCATTGATTAGGAAACAGTTTTGAATTCGATCCTGTTTTACACAGTTTTTCTATTGTCAAGAAAATGGAAGACCCTGATCACTGCGATGTGCATGATATTTTTCTCTGATTTCCAGGCGTATTCCTGCAAAATAATCTTTAGTTGATGTCTCCAGACTTCTCATATTAAGAAACCCCCCTTTTATTAGAAAGCATTCTACTCTTACATTGTATAAGGATACACAAGTCAACAGCACATTTTAATACAAATTTAGTGTTAAATACAGTAAAGCCAAACAATGAATAGATGAATAGAGCTGTTCCATCGGTCTAGGATTCGTCAGTGATGCACAGGGCCTAAAGTATAAAGCATAGGAGGTGACTGAAGAAAATCTAGAGCAAAGTCACCGTCAGAAAATTCAGTATCTGGCTGGGGAAGCCCTTGCCCCTCAACTGAATAAATTTCTTAATGTTCATCGGCTGCACTGATAATGACATTATTGTATATATGCTGGTGATATATATGGTTGGAGGATATACTTCAGTCAAAAGTAACTTTTGAAAAAGTACTTTAAAATTGTAGCATACGTGTATTTTGTGTATCTATGGTTACAAAGTCACTGATTTTACCTGAAAAGTTCCAGATTTTAAAGCTGATGTGTTTCGCTTTTCTTTTCAAAATAAGATTTTTTTATGTCATACAAACACGTGCATCGTGTAATTGTCATAATTGCTGTATATTTACTTTTACTTTGTCGTTGAAAAAAAACACTGTAGTTTTGGATTGGAAATGATATCTGAAAAACGATATTAGATCTGAGATAAAAGATATTCTGATCATCAAGATATATATTTGCCTGGAACTCTTCTGGAATAAATGTAAATGTTTAAAATACACGTGTCTTAAGAGTTCAAGAAATGCATTTCAAAACATATGATATGTGTTGATTTGATTACATAGAATTACTTACCTCTTATTCCTGGTGACCAATGTTACAGGTATCCGCTCTAGCTTGTTGTTAATTATTGAATAAGATTGCATTCCATAGTAACAGGTGTTTTATGATTTGATAACAATTTTTATTATTTGAAAAGAATAGAGCTTACCTATTCATTTCATATTTCAGGTAAATACAAATTTAATCATGATTTATCACCATATTGCTGATTATCTAAATTGATCCAGTACTGCTTGAAACAATTGTTAAAGAATTTCACATCTGACACCCCTCAAAATTCATTAATAATTTTAACCGGTTCCTTTTTGGACAACAGAAATATAAAAGAATATGGTTCGGCAAATCGTTGGTAATTCATCTTAATGCTTGAACTATTCAATCATCAAGTTTCTTGACATGTACCAACATCAGGGAGACTACATTAGCCCCCTATTTTCCGAGTAGACGAGCTAGAAATGAAAGATGTGGAAACCATACTTACTTGAAACTGTCGCCATCATGTGCACAGAATTTCAATGAGCGCTCTCCTGTGAGAATGATTTCTATCAGAAACTCGGTGTCTACGTTATTCGGTGGCAGAAGATGGCGACACTGTAACAATTTCCAATGCAACAATAAACATAAAGTATAACAAATACTGAAACCAGATTAGTCATATAAATATCAAACGTTATGGTAGTTTAGCATACTACACCTACGAGGATCCCTATAAACGACAACCTTAACACTTTAACTCTTCCTTTATTTGCATCCTGCATACATTTTTTATGCGCTTTGTGTTTTAGTTTGATATCCGTTTCCTTGCATGTTTAATGACGTGCGGTAAGCTTTGCCCTATTACCTTGTATTTTTTTAGAGGTAATTTGCTCATAATTTCCATGGAGTCTAAGTTTTAATTAAGATTCTGTTTGTATGACAGACATTTCTTTGTTGTTGTTTCAGGATGAAGATAGTAAAAAAGACAAAGGCAAGATATTTATAATCATATTGGTAGAGTCAAATAATGCTGTTTTGTCCCCTAAGACTTGTCAGTGATGCTAAGAGCCTGAAGTTTAAAGCCTTAGAGGAAACTGAGGAAAATTAAGTGTATACTCAACAAACAAGAAACGCACAAAGTGTTTGTGCGTGTCCCTCCACTTCTCAGACGTAATAATCTAATTTTCGAGCGCACGATCCCAGAGTCTGTCGTGATTTTCTGTGGAATGGACCCCATGTAGCCCCGACATATCTCCTACTGAACATTTGTGGGCTGAGCTGGACTGACGTATCATAAAACGCCAAAAACCCAAATAACCACGCCCAGTTCATTGCAGCTTTAACACAATAATTGAACAACTTCCCTTAAGGCGAATTAATGCTCTCATGAATTCAATGCCTAGGAAAATCCGTGTAGGGATTCGTGCAAGAGGTGACCACACCAGGTAAAGAAGTGTCTTTTTTGGCAATTATCCCACTTTGAGTAACTGCTTACGACACGGGTGACGTCACACAGACTTTTCTTCTACATTATTGTAAAGAGTAGACTTTTCCCTTCACATTGAAACAAAATTTTGTACAACTTTCCCTAATTATCAAAGGCTATTGATTGTATAATCTTATTGTGCGTTCCTTATTTTTGTTGAGTATGTATCCCGAACCTTTTATTTCTATTAAAATATTTAAATGAAAATGTGAGGGGCACTGCCGAAACAAGGAATACCCCACTCGACAAGACCATTATGACGTCACAATGCAGTGGGACTCAATGCAAGTATTGTATCATTAATACATTGGCAATCTAGTAGAACATAATGTACAGGTATTGTATAATAGTATTGGACACTTACCTTTTTTCCTGTGCGAATAGTCATACAGTCGTTTTTTATATTAAATGTTTTCTGTGGACGTGGCGATTGTTTCCCTTTGTAATATTTCAAGCTACCGCCTAAACATACCACCAACCAACTTTTCTTCCATTTTCGAAAGAATGTCTCTAGAAAACAACAAGAAAAAAACTAAGTAAAAATAAGTGGAATACTATAAACGATAATTTTTATTGAAAACAGTCAAGTCCTAAGTTATGAGATTCGTTGTTTCCGTACACAAATGTATTTCGTATGATTGATGCATTTTGGTTGTTTTCGGTTGAAAAACTTCAAAATTAGTATCGTAACAGACATATACAAAGAAATGAGAACGAAATGTCGAAGCACTATTGTGGTGACAACAAAAGCGTTCATTGCAGATACCTCTATAGCTGAAATATATATATATAACACAGAAGTGACAATGTAGAGCAGAAAATGTCAAGGAATCTTTACAATAAGTTTTGTTTGTATTGGAAACTAGTGTCACCTTAATTATCGAAATAGTATTGTGCCTTAAGAAATAGTATTGTGCCTTAAGAAATAGTATTGCTTAAGGTACCCTGTAATTACATTCTCGTCTGTCATTCAAATAACTTTTTTACAATTTTCACGTCTATCTTGTCAGCAAGAGATCCATTGTCTAAATATGGCAATATATACTTCGTTCTGTATTATTGATTCAAAGTTTGAGCCATGAAATAGAAAGTAAATATCACATTTTATCTGACAATACCGTTTGGAAAGTAGCATGACATTATTCTATTTCATGAAGTTTACAAATCATGTAACACGGGAGACGGGTGGTGTTGTATACGTGTTAGTATGATAATCGAATATTTTTATATCCCAGATCAAAGATATCGTGAGGCCAACTTTTAATTCATGGCTTTACCTACATATAAGTCTTATGATTTAAAAGCATTGTTAGCTTCCGTAAAACCATGAAAATTTGCAGACAAACATATATCTTAAAAAGGAACTTTTTACGACATCTTTTTTATTTAATTTATTTTGGTTAAAATTGGTCTTACAATAGCCAAGAAATAAACACTAAACAATATTGGTATAATGTTGTAAAACGATCTAGTTTGCCTTAGGTGAACAAGTTCATTGAAATCCAACCTCAGCTGAATATACCCATATGTGACATAATTACACTGTAAGGATAGAAATATCCTTTAATTCGTGTAAATCGGGTTTGTCATATTTCGGGTCATGGCATGTGTGATTGTTACATGACTTCATTCTATATGTTACATATAGTAATTGGCTAGTAACAAATCGCGAAATAAAATGCGATCGATTGTGGAAGTTATATATATATATGTTATATTTGAGCAACAAAACAGTTCATATGAATTCAAACGTGTGAGAATAGATGTATTGAAATACAAAATACACATATGAACAACTGTTTAAATCTGTAAAGAACCTTTGAAATACTTCGTCATATATTCCGTAGAAAAATTAGTTTACAAAATTTAACAGGAGGATGGACATCTGAAGTTAGCTCAGGGTTAGGGATACTAATATCATATTCTATGTATCATATGATCCACGTGATAATAGGATAAGTATACACAGACATATTATCCACGTGACACAAAGATAAGTATACATACACAGACATATGATCCACGTGACACAAAGACAAATATACATACACAGACATATGATCCACGTGACACAAAGATAAATATACATACACAGACACATGGTCCACGTGGCACAAAGATAAATATACATACACAGACATATTATCCACGTGACACAAAGACAAATATTCATACACAGATATGTGATCCACGTGACACAAAGACAAATATACATACACAGACATATGATCCACGTGATACAAAGACAAATATACATACGCAGACATATGATCCACGTGACACCAAGATAAGTATACATACACAGACATATGGTCCACGTGACACAAAAACAAATATACGTACACAGACATATGGTCCTCATAACACAAAGACAAATATACATACACAGACATATGATCCACGTGACACAAAGATAAATATACATACGCAGACATATGATCCACGTGACACAAAGACAAATATACATACACAGATATATGATCCACGTGACATCAAGATAAGTATACATACACAGACATATGGTCCACGTGACACAAAAATAAATATACATACACAGACATATGATCCACGTGACACCAAGATAAGTATACATACACAGACATATGGTCCACGTGACACAAAGACAAATATACATACACAGACATATGGTCCACGTGACACAAAGATAAATATACATGCACATCCACGAGACACCAAGACAAATGTACATACACAGACATATGATCCACGTGACACAAAGACAAATATACATACACAGACATATGATCCACGTGACAACAAGACAAATATACATACACAGACATACGATCCATGTGACACAAAGATAAATATGTACATATATGTGCATATATATATACAATGTTATTATTAAGATATCCAGATAATTGAGAAACAAATAATATAGTCATTACAATAAAATACTACGATTAAATTATTGATATAATAACAAGGTAAATATGTGTGTACAAAAAAGGACCGAAGAAAAGTATGGTGAAGGTGTCGATGTCTTTAGTTTTTATTTATAATAGAAAACATTGTTGTTGTCTAATCACGCTTGTTTAAGTGACACTGCGTAAGTAATAACGAACCAATCTGTTATACTACAGCATTCTAGCAAAGTAGTCTTTAGTAGATTTATTTGAGACGCATTTTTTCATTTTCAGTATTTCAAAAATGAAATAGATTGTCTGCATTCATGTGTATTTCGTCAATATGTAGTCCATTGTCTAGATTTAACAAAAGATATAAAAAGTTTCATGTTATAGCTAGGCACTAAGTTGGTTTGGCTCCAATATATATCTAAATATCTTCAGCCTTGGAAAGTTGAATTGATTTTTGTCGTGAAATCGTGGTTGAATATACAAATAAATTCTTCATTCAAAAACTACAGATAATTTAGAACTTGAGATCAGATAATGGTGGCTAACATATAATTCAGATATCAGTTTAGGTGACGAGTATGAAGTAAAATGATACGTCTATATGTTTAATGAAAAGTGGTTAGGTACATGGGGATTATCGATTACAATTGCTTATTTTCAGACCATTGATCTCGTTATGTTAACTTTTTATATGTGTGCTATATAAATAGAAAAGTCGACGGTAAGAAAAGCATAGTTAGCTGAGAAACACACAATATATATTGTATCTGTTGTCATTGAAAAAAATTCTATCAACAGTTTAACTTGTAACAAGGTCAGTCTCAAATATTTTATGTATAAAGTATAACATCATTAAAAAAGAACATTTAATCTATCTAAAATAATGTTTTCCAAATTTATGATTTATATTTGTGAACTTTAAATGCATTTTTATAACAAAAAAAGCCTAACAATGATATAGTATGTGATATAGATTATGCATCAAGATTTTATTGATAGTAAAGTCATATAACGTACGTAAATAACTCTAGATTTAATCAAAATTGAAATTTGAAAAACCCAGCCAGGTCTTGAATACTACTGAAGGTTTGGTAAGTTAGTTATACAAACTCCACGAACAATTAACAGGCAGGGACATTCTGGAGAGTTATAGAGTCGGGGTGATGGTGAAGCAACATAAGGCCCTTCATTCATAAATCCATTTATCTACCTTGTTTATTGCATGACTTTCATAGTGTAACAATAAGGTTTTTGCGGAGTTTTTTCAGCTTATCACTTATGTATCTTTTATACAATCTGCAATACAGAGACTTATTTGAGTGCGGAAATCTCCTTAATCAATATAGTGATAATGGAAACCTATTTAGTAGAATAAATCCGAAACAGAAGATGCTTACTCTTCCGGAACACTTCGTATTATCATCCTTGAACTTAGTCACCGTCTAAAGTTTTCTTTTATAATTATATTGACATGTTGGTATTTTCTAGTTGCTTTCTGTAACGATTGTGGTTAGCATAGGGAAAGGACTGTTATATTTGTATTAGCACATTTCCGTCAATTCTAAATTACCAGAAACTGACTTACTGCAATACAGTGAGATGATTTACAAAATATGGATTGAGTCATAGAGCACTTTAATATTCAATATGTGAAAGCAATATAAACCAAGGGTTGGTTCACTCACTATTGTCAGTTGTAATTACAAATATTGAACTCGGAATACTTCATGTATTTATGATTAATGTATATACGTCATTAAAACTACATGTGTAAAAGGACCTTTTATGAAAAGTGTACAATAGTCTCATCTAGGGACGTGGTATAACAATGGATTTTAGTTCAAACATAAACTGTGGATGTCTGATGATATGATCAATATCTCTACACAACTGAACAGCAGACTATGGACCGTTCGATGTTAGAATCATATGCTCTTCTCCTAGGACATTCGAGTCGTCAATGTATCTGTTTAAGTATGTATAATTTTAGAATTACGTAGATTTATAGAATATCAAATCAAGAGTTTGGTTAATCATTAATCAAATAAAATACATTTTTGTCTATACTTTATCATTTGCCTGTTGATTTCGTTGCTGTTTACCTTCTTCTCATTTGGAAACCTGGCATTTCTTACTTTAACTTAACAATATTTTCATGGTGGGCGCCGTGCGATGGAGCAAAAGACGCTTACTCTATCGGTACACTCCTATTCTCCCGATATTTTTTCTGAAATCATTTCTTTTTTCCCATATCTTCATTGAACTTTACTTTGGATGATAAATCTGTTCACATGTTGGTATTTAAGGCTGACAGTACTAAAATTCTGTAATTTGTCTTCGTCCGATAAAAAAGGACATCAAACAGTTTTATTTTTCAGTACATTAAAAACTCTGAAAATTGCCTTAGAAAATGGCGTTGAAGATGTTGAAAAACATTACCCATTAATAAAACTGGACAAATCACGGTTCGAATTTAGCCAAAAACAATGTTTCGTTACGACATAGCTATATATAGAATAACAACTCATGAACAGTTTGTTTCATGACATATCAACTTGTCTTCATGTAAGTTGTTTTTTGCACTTTGATTAAATATTTTGTTACTTCCTTGTAAATCAGTTGTCTATATGAACAATTATTGCATTTATTTACAAATGAATACATGTAAACAGTGTGTAAATAGTGTACAAAAGTACATACAAATAAATCCTTAAAGACACATTATATAATTAAATGGGAATTAAAAAAACATACCTTATTGTGTGCTGAACGTATTGATTTATTCTCCATTACATTTCCAATAGACACCATGTACGTTGGAATTTTGATTTAAACATTCTATTGTATCATAACATGATTTATCTATTGTACATATTTTACAAAATGAACACGTTTTGTGTATATAGTGTTTAGTAACAATAAACTGATATAGAACGGAACACAAAATTTATGCTATATAAACAAATGGTTTGTATTGTGGTATCACTTTATCGAAATTATTAAATCAACTGTCACGTGACATTATTGCGATTAAACCAGCTTGTTTCAATTAATCATTCTCTCTCGTTACCCTTAAAAATAAATTGTCACAAAATCTATTGAATACAAAGACATTAAAATGATATGCTTACTCTGCCGATATATCCATCCCTGCTTTAATATCACAACATCGTTATCGTCCAAGGAAAGACCCATTCTGTCATTTTTCAACGAAGTTAAATATTATCCAACCACGCGACACTGCACACCTCCGTTTGGCTACCTCGTACACATTCTAAAGTAGTTTCTATTTCAATAAGATTATGCTCTTGTTTAAAAACTTCCACTAATTCGTACTGACCTATAACACGAGAGTCCATATGTCTGTAGCGGTACATATACATTTCAACTGTATTCTGTGTTCAATACACATACACACACCATACTTATCGCATGGGCTAACCTGATACTGGTGTTTATGAATACAACACAGAAACAATTGATACAATGATGTGGATTAGCCCGTTAAAACTAATGAACCAGTTGTTAGCGTCATTCCTGTTGGTTAGCTTTCCACGTTCAAACTTTAGAACGTTATCAATGAAAGTCCGACTTAAATGTTTCAAACAGCTAATGTTAGTTTTGTAACTTAAGTATATATATGATAGTATGGGATACAAGATATTTGTAAAGACAAACAACACTAACAATTAAAATGTCGTGAACATATTGTGTTACTGTTAAGGTTGGAAATCATTATTATACCTACAGTTAAGCCGGTATTCTATTACACCTTGGTTATAATACTGATCATAGGTATAGGTAAGTAAAAGTAGATGTATGTATACAAAAGAATAGTAAGTATTAAAGGGACAAACACCTTACAATAATATTTATGAGAGATAGATTTACATAATATACCGGGTTTATATAGACTTATTTACTTGTGCGGTAATGATCTTTAACATACATAGGTACCATGTAAGTTTGTATGCTGGTTTAATTGCCCCCATGGACCATAGGGGTCATTTTAGGCTAGACAGCCTTGTAGTGCTATTTAAAACTGTTGACTACCTTTATGCATAATGATTCTGATTCCGGAGTTACTGCCCTTTGTTGTCACTTTGTCGGTGCGGTTTAGCGATAAGTATGAATAATAAAGGGGAGGTCATCCGCACGCTATCCGAGGCATTCGGGTTTAGTGTGTTTTCCAATATCATCACCATGAAATTTATATTACGCTTTTATGAAAAGAAAAACCAGTCCGAGTTAGGATCATTGCACCACACACTTCGGATCTTCACCTGAGGTTGCTAAGTACAAAACCTTACCGAATGAGCTGTGCAATAATTCACAGCTTGTATACTGTAGTTTCCTTAATACAAATTAATGTATTTAAAAAATAATGCAAAATTATTGATATTTCAGCGCGATTTCATGCTATGGAGGGTTATATTACAAAGCATCACCAAAACGGTTTTAAATGTATAGAGAAGTTGTCGTTCGCATATGTTGAACACAAAAATACTTGATTTTTTGAGCCGCGCTTTTTTATTTTTTCTTTGTGTAAAATTTTGTTTCATAGGGGTTAAGACTATCAGATGGGATAACACTAGTGATTGCAGAATCGGCGACTTCTTTATGTACCTTAGGAAAAACCAAGCTGCTAGGCGACGCACTTCACGTGTGGAGCATTGAATGTATAGTTTTAATCTATAATGGAACATAAAACAGATATACATATGTAATAATACAATATATTGTATACATGTATAGTTTTTTCGTCTCCTCGCCGTTCGTTCAATTTTGGTATTACAGGTGCAAACTGGGATTTGTTTGTTAAAGAAAACACCTTGATAGTTTGCTGACGTAGCCGTACTTTGTATTTGGACCAGTTATATGACAATATTTTGCTGACGTAGCTGTACTTTGTATTTGGACTAGCTATATGACATTATTTTGGTGTTGTTGCTGTATTTGGACCAGTTATATGACAATATTTTGCTGATGTAGCTGTATCTGGACCAGTTATATGACAATATTTTGCTGACGTAGCTGTATCTGGACCAGTCATATGACAATATTTTGCTGATGTAGCTGTATCTGGACCAGTTATATGACAATATTTTGCTGACGTAGCTGTACTTTGTATTTGGACCAGTTATATGACAATATTTTGCTGACGTAGCTGTACTTTGTATTTGGACTAGCTATATGACATTATTTTGGTGTTGTTGCTGTATTTGGACCAGTTATATGACAATATTTTGCTGACGTAGCTGTATCTGGACCAGTTATATGACAATATTTTGCTGATGTAGCTGTATCTGGACCAGTTATATGACAATATTTTGCTGACGTAGCTGTATCTGGACCAGTCATATGACAATATTTTGCTGATGTAGCCGCACTTTGTATTTGGACCAGTTATATGACAATATTTTGCTGACGTAGCTGTACTTTGTATTTGGACTAGCTATATGACATTATTTTGGTGTTGTTGCTGTATTTGGACCAGTTATATGACAATATTTTGCTGACGTAGCTGTATCTGGACCAGTTATATGACAATATTTTGCTGACGTAGCTGTACTTTGTATTTGGACCAGTTATATGACAATAATTTGTGTGTGATCAATTGCTGATGAAATTGAGACAGTTTAGTTCTACTCAAAATGAACAGGCGTCAGGGTTATTAATATTACCAGTCATTTTAATATTTTTCAGCAGCTAGACTTAACATCTACTAAAGGTTACATGTACATATTCATTTTACAAGTCACTCTGATGTCAATCATTCTTCTTGACCAGGACGGCAATGCGCGACAGAGATCTTACTGTGAGAGAAAAAGTACACCCATGTGATTGGGCAGGTCACTCATCACTTTTCACGTCCGTTCTGACAAACGAAGCACAGATGTCTAGGTGCACGTGAATGGCGTGTTGGTTACTAGTGCGCTACCGACCTGTCTGTTTACGGACGATATACCCAGCAAACAAATTTTCTAAGTTTATTCAGTTGTGAGTGTTAGATATTTTTATGTCACATTGTCACGAATGATCAACGTTTCCTATTGTTAATTATTCTGGGAAGTAATTAATAAACATGTAAATTGTACCTTGTATAACACCTGATATAACCAAGAGTGTTTCAAAATACATACACTGTATGTTCTGTTCAATTAGGCTGAAATTAAATTAAGGTGTTCCTGTATTTTTTAGCTCTATGGAGTTTGGTTTGGGCTACAGAAGGTGTTTTTGTTATGATAAACAAAATATTTGTAAAAGTTCTACATTTTAACTTAGCTTAAAAACCACTCCGCAAAAACTCATCTGGAGTCATGATCTGAGAAAATGATATACATGTAAAAAATAACATTTTGGGGCAAATTTTCCAGGTTTATTTCCCCTATTCTTACCTTTTCAGCACAAAATGTAGTACAATGTTGTGACATTCAAGCCTTACTACAACATGTTTTCCAATGGCACGTGTTCTTATTGTTAAAACTACATACCAATATACACATGAAACATACATTTATGGAAGAATATTCCAGACAAATTTTGTACATGGTTACACTGTAGCATCTTTGAATAGTTTCACAATGTTAATATCAGAAAAAAGTAAAATTTTAAATTAAGCACAAAAATCAAACTGGCATAAATGTTTACAAAGTTAAAATAATTTATAAAGTAAACAAAGAAAACAAATCTTCAAATATTTCATTTTTATTGTCTCTTTCAAAAATTCAATTAAGATCATCAATTTGCAGCATATACATGTACTTTAATGTTACATATGAATTATGACATATACAACATGTGATAAAATTATCATTGACTATTTTAATAACAAATATATAAGTACATAAACTTCTATTTATGATACACAACCATCGTTCATGCACACAGTTACATATACATACATTGCATTTTAGATAAAATACCATCGATGCAGAAAACAATGGTTTTGAAATAAAAAAATTTCTGTCAAACAGCAAAATGCCTAACCTAATGAAAACAATTAAACAAAATAATGGCATAATTATGACTGTCACATACATTTTATATGTAAGTATGTATGTATATATAGTGCACATTTAATCGCTACATTTTCATTCATCAATGATCATCAATACATCAGATTTATCATACAATAAAAGATTTTTTCAAACATCTACATATTGGCAGTTATTTATGGCCATACCCTCTTATCTCTCAATCTACAGTTATAGAACTTTGATTATCTAGACTTTTTATCAGAATTTCTCATTTTCTCACTTTTAAATATATATAGAAGCCTGCAGAGTGACCCCTGTCTCTAGAATATCTAGTTGATGCATTATAAAAATCATTCTGATCATTCTGCTCTGTTGGATAGCTCTGATCCTAGGTTTCACAGGAAGGGGAGATAAGCAGGCAGACAAATGCAGTGAGGTATATCTTAGTGGCCAGTAGCAAGTCTCATTCTTTCCTTATTCAGTCATGATTAGAAGACTCTCATACTTCAATCCAATAATTATGGGACTGTCAATTTTTCGTACAACATATATCAAAATGTATAAGACCTTATCATTCTCTCTCTGCTAAATTTAACAGAAATAAGATTTCTTATCATACTGATAAAAAGTAATAAGTCAGTCTTCTCTATCTCTGTTCAATTTAACAGTTATCTCACTGATAAAAAACTATCTCAATCCTTCACTATTATTATTACAAAGAACTTATCATTCTCTCTTTGGTAACAAGTCAGTCCCCTTCTCTCAATAGAGTATCTTGTTTTTCCTCAAATTCATTTGAGTTATAAGAAATTCTGTGTCATCTTGGGATGATGTTTGTGCTAAGTTGTATACATTTTTCATCACACAACATTCCATTCTGATTACAATCATACTGCATCCTTCCTACTGAATATAAAACGATGTACTTCATTCTCATGTCACAATGTGTATAAATCTGCAGTATCAAGCTGTATTGCTACAGTATGCACAAAATATATTTACAGCAATGTATAGCACCATGGAGTTCCATTTGCTGTTAACTTCAGGACTGAATGATAAAGTCACTTCACAACATCAGTCTTATTGGTTAGCCTTCTGAACCTGGGATCCAGCTACTGCAAGTACCTTGTCACCAGAAGCTGAAAAATAACACAGATAAAATGACAGAATCATCCTTCAGCACTGAAAACATTGACAAATAAAATGCCACAAGTATAGATATTGTCAGTTGACCTGAGGACAGCCAAGGTCATTTAAAGATGAGGTGTCCTTATAGCAGCTTGTGGCTATTTCACTGAACATAAAACAGAAGACCATCTTGTGCAAGACAGAGTAATTTCAGTATAGTGTCATGTGAAAACATATATAAACACCAGAGTTGTTTACATTAATTTCTGACACACATCAAGAATTATTTAATTCAAGTCTATTTGAAACTGAGAATAAAAAATATCTACACAAAAAATTAAGATTTCTGTATACAAACGAAAACTTAAATCTAAAGCTTTCTAAATCTATATACATGTACTATACTTAAATTTCCATTTTTGAACATGCACATACTTCACATACAACAGTTTTTCAATTCCCTACTCAACCCCCTCTCCCTAAACTTCATATACAAGTTTTTCAATTCCTCACCCCATCCCCTCTCCCCTAAAAAACATTTTCCATATTAAAATTCAAAATGCACACATCATTGTGTTCCTAGAGCCAAAGCTATGCTGGTTTAGTGTTTCATTTTTTGAAGAAACTGACAGTACACACTTACCTAGGTTGCTTGAGACTTGTTCAAATTCCTTTAGGCTGGCACTAGAATTGGATTGTAGGTAAGCTTGTTCTGAAGCAGTCAAATCCTCCCCAAGCTTTTTCAATGCAGTCAAAATCTCTACAGACTGGGCAGTAGCTACATCAGCAGGGATTTTACCAATCTTAGCATCACGACTGATCTGAAAGGCAAATTTTGTAAGTGGTCATGATCTTTACTGTATAGACAATAGATTCAATATACAGTGTTTACCAGCTGATGTATGTTTGATGACATGTATTTACTGAAGTTAATATTACCAGTAAACAAACCATCAAGGTTTAAGAAAGGGCTACAACTCCTGAGACCAGGTGTCCCAAAATTGCCAACATGTTAATGAGGTTAAATTTAATGCACAAGTGATCAACAATTAAGGAAAAATAAGCTTCAATGTTTTATCATTCTTATACCAAGGTTTTGTATTTAGTTGCCCCACATTTATATATACAGGTGGCTCACTATTTTATGATTTTCATATAAAAAGCTGCCACTGTTACTATCCTTTTATTATCCATAAAATCAAAATACTCTAAAACTTATAATTAATACCTCTGACAGACGCTGACGTAATTGTCCTGGTTGTTTTTTGGCAAACAACCTAATTACTTCTGGTGTTTTGAAGGCTTCACTGATAGCTGCTTGTATCGCCTGTAGATAGAGACAGTATGTAGAAACCATAGAAACAGATAAACTATTGTGTGGCCTATTTATAGTAACAACAGAAAGTAGAAACCATAGAAACAGATACATTATTGTGTAGCCTATTTATAGTAACAACAGAAAGTAGAAACCATAGAAACAGATACATTATTGTGTGGCCTATTTATAGTAACAACAGAAAGTAGAAACCATAGAAACAGATACATCATTGTGTGGCCTATTTATAGTAACAACAGAAAGTAGAAATAACCGTAGAAGAGATTTTTGTCTGACTTGCTTATAGAAACAACAGAAATAAATATTATTGTGTGGTCTGTATATAGTAACAACAGAAATAAATATTATTGTGTGGTCTGTATATAGTAACAACAGAAATAGATATTATTGTGTGGTCTGTATATAGAAACAACAGAAATAAATATTATTGTGTGGTCTGTATATAGTAACAACAGAAATAAATATTATTGTGTGGTCTGTATATAGTAACAACAGAAATAAATATTATTGTGTGGTCTGTATATAGAAACAACAGAAATAAATATTATTGTGTGGTCTGTATATAGTAAATATTATTGTGTGGTCTGTATATAGTAACAACAGAAATAAATATTATTGTGTGGTCTGTATATAGTAACAACAGAAATAAATATTATTGTGTGGTCTGTATATAGTAACAACAGAAATAAATATTATTGTGTGGTCTGTATATAAAATCAACATCACACAGATAGTAGAAACATAGAAAGTCAATATTGTTGTGTGGTTAGAAGAAATTCCCAACAGAAAGTAGAAATAACAGAAGTAGATACAACAGCATGCAGGAACTACACAAGATATCAACATATTAACATACTAACATTAGCATTAACTATTGATGAAAACAGACAGTAGAAAAGATTATATATGACCTGTCAATAAAAAATTAAACAACAAGTTTGATGTACATTATGATACGGCTATGTATGACAAAGCTGTCACCTTAATCTTGTCTGTATTACAATCCTACAGTTTTATCATCTAGTAATACATTGTAAAAAACGTACATTTTACAAACAAGTATGCAATATAATCATGGATTTCATCTTTACATAGTTTATACATGTATATTGATGGTACTGTACAATTGTGAATGTAGTTTTTAGAGTTATGTCCCTTTTACTTAGACAAAAAATCAACACATTGATTTAATTATCGGCTCCCAATATATCTATATCTAAAAACTACAAGATATTTATATCCACTACATACGTGTAAAGAAGTTTTGTATTAAGGTAACTGAAATAAAACCCACTTGATGAAAGAATTGAAACACCTTTTAATTATATGCATAATTAGCCTGTCACTCAGTCATAATGATCATGTTGGGGTCACTTTTGGGCCAAAGTAAAGAAGGACTTACCAGCTGCATACTATTGAGTTCATCCACCAGACTAACATTGCCTTCGACCATCTTATCTAAGGATTCTTTAAACTCCTTTAACTGTTCAATTGTCTCATTTTTAGTCTCCTCATACTCATCCTCGTCAAAGTCATCTCTGGAAAAAAGAAGTACTACAGTTCAATACTGAATTAAATAAACATAATCTGACAACTCTTTGAATTAGTTTGTTTCATAAACGTACAGATTCACAAAATTTGACAGACAAATCTATAATCTAGGCAAATTATTCTGTTAAGTTTTAAACCAGCACTTCAGCACTTTCTACATCCTTCCACATAATATAATATTAATACACGAAAGAATATAATAAAAATATTCCTCTATGTCGTAAATTAAAGGAACAAACACACATGTAAACAAAGCAATCACAACATCAATTACTTGTAATCAATTATCCATGGTCTCTGTATTGATAAGGTACAGTATCTATTCTTGTTTCTACAGAAATCTTATACCAATGAAGAGATATAACTGATATTTGAAATTTTTAGGCTCTGTGATAGCCCTGTAATAGCTCAGTCAGTTAGAGTTTTACCCATTGTGATTTGTGTTTCAGGAAGCTAAGAATCTGACCAGTTTGTGGTAATGTGCACGTGTCTGTGTATTGGATAAGACACTAATCACTCTGGATAGTATGTATGGGCCTCATGTATGTTGTTCAGTGAGGTAGTCATCGGCTGCTACAAGGAAACCCCACCTCAAAACAACCCTGACTGTTCATGGAACAATAAACCCAGTATACAATCTTTTGAATATTTTCAACATTTAAAAATAATGTGGATTTTTTAAATAATACTCCTTACTATAAATGATGACATATAAATTTATTCCTACTTGCATTCCTCTAGGTCAGATAACTGCTGCACTAGTCTCTCTAACTGTTCCTCCAGGTTGTGTCTCAGTTTGGAAGTTTCCTGTGATCCCCGAGAAGCCATTTCAGCTGTAGGTTTTACATGTGTACTTATTAAAGGTATGGAAAGTGGAATCCGACTGAAACATTAGAAATGGAAACAAGGGTTGTTAAACTTAGGAAAGTATTTCATCAATGTAACCTTTTGAATCCCTTCTCCATCTCTCACTCACTACAAGTTCACTTATATACAATCACATTAGACGTTTAACACATTGACAGATACACCATACAAATAGTAGACACATAAGGTACAAATATGGTGTCCATGCACACTTTGGGGATAAGATGGTAAATGGAGCTTAGGATAGATGAATGCTTGAGGGTGAGGGGTGTGTAATTATACCAGGGAAAATACACATTCCTGCTGAGTGTCCTGACAGAAATAGAACTCGTTCCTTGGTAGAGTGATAAAGCAAGCATGTCTACCAACTGAACCAAAGAATCGTGCTCCGTCACCTGAATGACAGAGACTTTATATTAATATTGTGTACAAGTCACATCAAGTCTCTCCTTTTACACTACTTCCTGTTTTATATTGAGAATCCCTTGGCTCTAAATACCACATCCATCGGGACTTTGTTGGATGGTAATAGAACTTTAAAAAATACACATTCCTGACGAGTATGGCGACAGGATTTGAACCTTGGTCTCTGGCATAATAATAATAATCCATGGCTACTAATGCATTTGAGCCAAACAAACCATACTGCTCCACTCCTTTTATGAATTTAATCAATGCTCAATGAGTCCGTGTTAGTGCTTTCCCCTTAAGATTATATAGTCAAAATGTTTTCTGGAAAGAGAACTTGTGTCAATCCGTTGTGACACCCAATCATTGGGATTAAATTAGCACATACCATTTTTTTCTTTACACTTATGTATCCTTGGTGCATTAGTTTCGGATCCCTTCACAATCACTTTTCGCTAGCTACACTGTGCTAATGAAATGCCACCAAACAAATACATAAATGACCTGAAATGGGTTCATACTATAAGATTCATTTTAAAAATGTCCAGTAAAAGAACAGTATTTTTCTAAAAATATCCATGGATAAGACTTCTTTGCTCACCTGAAATGATTGACATGTGAGTGCACTTCCTTTTCTAATGAAATCACTACATCACAGATACGTTTGAGTAAGCTTTTATTTAGAGTGACCCAGATGTAAATGTTTTACATAAAATCATTGCCTGAACAGGAACTACATTTTGATGACAAAAACATTCAAATGAAATAATGGTGTGAAACTACAGGGTTAGATTAAGTTTGCAATGTCAAGTCCTTTTTTCTCAGATAAGCCATATTTCTCCAAAAACTTCATTTTTTGTAACACAAATTATTTAAAGAAAGTTATTTTTTTAATCTCTCGGTCTACAACTCGCTAGTTTGACAAAATCAGAAATGAATCATCAAACATAATACTTTAAAAATCATCATTTTTCAATATAAGGCATGCATGGTTGGACTTCTGTAGTCAAAAATTTACAAGAGGGTGTGGCCTATTATCTTTGTTCGATTTTTATTCACGAGAATGATGAAAACGAAACATTGACATTCAAAGATGAATTGATAGGTTATTTCGTTATATCTGAGAGGATGTTTGACGTGTGATAATTTGTATTAAGAATATCACAAAAATTTGCCACAAAAATATATACTAACATTTTTTATTGTGAATGGTTTTAATCACAAATTTTAATTCTATATGGAAACGTAACATGTTACAACAACTAAAATTGTTCGGATGCGAGGTTATGCAGGTCAATAGTTCAAGTTATACGGTTCGATAAAATGACCGTTCCGAAATACATAACGGTCCGGAACTGATGTTTGGACGATATATATCATATACTGTCATATTTCAGAATGAATTAGAAAATTACACAGAACTTGGATGACCATGAAATACACATCCATTTCATTCATCTGCTAAAATATCAAGAAAGTGCATGGTCAAGAAAACTGTGCTAGGCCTAGTTCGAGGGGCTCTAACTGCTAGGCTTTCTATACACATCGATATAGGCCAATGGGGTGTAGGAAAACGATGTACTATCATAACAAGTGCAAATCAAATGTGCCCTTTGATATCATGATGTAACAGGTTATCTATCGGATAAGTTACACATTTTTCATACCTAGTATGGCATGAATTTCATAGATCATTCGACAATATTCAGATACATGCTCTTGGTTTCATTTACCTACGTCGGTCCAAAGTTGACAGCCCAATTTAATTGAAGATCTCGTCGAAGGGAAACAACTCTGTCTAAATCACATGACGTACTATGTACTCAGATTGATGTGCACGTTCAGTACAACTATAACCCTTTATATGGACAAACATTAACACCCCAGGGTAAACTAGTAAGTTATATGTATTCCATTTAAGAAGACAAATACTTGCTTGTAATCTATCAAAACGTATAATACCTGTTCTGATGAATAGAGAAGATTACATTCTATAAAAGATTCAACACCCACACATCTTTTGTCACGTGTTCATGTCTCCGCCTCGAATTAGAAAATTGTCATAACTTACAGATAAAACAATGTTCATGTCGTCATCAATGACATTAACAATTTAACATTGTAATGTTGATGTTTATTACAATATATATCTCATACTGACCGGCGAATCTTTATGGAATGTTACACTTTATCACGTTTGTTTTGGGTTTGGTTTTATCCTACAGTTTTCTCAATAATCACAAAGATAATGTTCAGTTTGATTAATAAAAATGACTAGGAAACTGATCTGTTAATCGTTTCTGATTGATTCAGTACTTCAGGAGAACTAAAAACAGACAAGTGTTTTGCTTTGAAAAACAAAAACAGAACAAAAAAGTCAATTCTTATCGCGATTGCTTGGCTTTCCCGTTCAGTCAAACAAAAAACTCCGTCATGTAGAAACTGTCTATAAGGCCATGTGTTTGTGTGTGTGTGTGTGTGTGTGTGTGTAAATGCCTCCGATCTCACATACATGTAATTCAGAAACTCAATGGGTGTAAAACTTAATTTATGGGGTAAACTTCTCAGGGACAGGAATTGGTAGTACATGCTTATATACATCATTTATATATATATATAAAAATATATATATATATATATATATATATAAATGAGAACACTGAACAGCTCCAGTACATAATGTGAAAATTTAGAACACCAAGCTAAAGTAAATATGGAAACTTCGAACCCGAAAACAGAGTGAATGATATGAAAATTTTGAACTCCAAACTACAGTACAAAATAAACACTTGGAACCTCCTGTTTCAGTACATAATCTTTATTCAGAACCTTAAGTTCCAGTACAAAATTTTAAAACTTGGAAACTTGAGCTTCAATTCCGAATGCATGAACATTTATAACACTGGGCTCGAATACAAAATATGAAAATTTAGAACTTTCAGCTCTAGAACAAAATATGATAATCCATAACCTCCAGCTCTTGAACAAAATATGAATATGTAGAAAGTTTAGCACCAATACAAAATACATGTATGGAAATTCATGACCACGTGCTCCAGTACAAAATATCAAAATTTAGAAACCCAAGCCCCACACGAAATATGAACATCTTGAACTCCAGGCGCCAGTACAGTATAAGAGATATGTAGAAATCCGAGCCCAATTACAAAGTTTAAAATTTAGAATCATTGGCACAATAACACAGATCCATTTTTAAGATTTAGAACCTCGAGCTCCATTAAAGAATGAGCTGTATTTTCCAACGAATCATATATATATATTGATTGTAAATTATAAATAAGAACCATCATTATCTGGAGCCATAATGGAGACGTACAGGACAAATGACATTACCATAATTCTCTGCATGCTTATACTTGCACTACAGTGGGTAGTATATTCGAGTTAGACAACGTCGCTTAATATGTTGATCTCAGATATTACTAAGTAGTTGAGTCCTTACCAACATATAAACTTATGTTAACAATTTCCTCATAGCGACCGACCCTCATTTACTTTGACTTGATGTGTGAATGTAAGTTTAAAGTTGAACAAAGGCCATTTTCTAAAGAAATCTTAATTCACAAACTTAATGCCGCTGGAGTGTTTGTATAAATAGCCGACTATATAGGATCTTACAGGAGTACTCACGTGATCTATGACACGAGTCTAAGAAAATAATGTCAAATTCATGTAACAAATAGAAACGAATATAAGAGATATATTTTTATTACAGAACTGATTATTCTATTAAATATTGTAGTAAATTTGAAATAATATCAGTTTGATAATGCCGTATTCTCCAATTTTACGTCACAATGCATTCTGTGAATGTGTGACGTTGTCTTGTATGAACCTACGTCACAATAAGCTATGTTTCACACGCATAAATATCACATGGACATCTTCTCTAAATAACAAAGTAATGAAAGTAAGACGTTGTATGCTGAAACAATGACTGTGTTGTTTCTAAGTCAGCTTTCAATGCATATCGCGGTAATTTATTTTTGTTTCTTCTTCATAAACATGTCAAATTAAGCGATATATCATATGATTGATAATTTTTTTCGTACACACTTATCTGACATTTAAGGAGAAATCTATTAACGATAGGTCTGACATAAGTAACACCGATTATCTTTGGCGTCTATTTTAAGTAAGGAGAAAATGATTTTCGTGTATTTGAAGGATGGAGGACATTATTTAAGGTATTAGCATGTTCCTGACATAAGGAACACATATTTAAATATACCTGACATAAGGAACACATATTTACATGTTCCTGACATGAGGAACACATATTTACATGTACCTGATATAAAGAATACATATTTACATGTTCCTGACATGAGGAACACATATTTACATGTACCTGACACAAGGAACACATATTTACATGTACCTGACACAAGCAACACATATTTACATGTACCTGATATAAAGAATACATATTTACATGTTCCTGACATGAGGAACACATATTTACATGTACCTGACACAAGGAACACATATTTGCATGTTCCTGACATAAGGAACACATATTTACATATACATGACATAAGGAACACATATTTACATATACATGACATAAGGAACACATATTTACATGTACCTGACATAAAGAATACATATTTACATATACATGACATAAGGAACACATATTTACATATACATGACATAAGGAACACATATCTACATGTTCCTGACATAAAGAATACATATTTACATATACCTGACATAAGGAACACATATTTACATATACATGACATAAGGAACACATATTTACATATACCTGACATAAGGAACACATATTTACATGTACCGGACATAACGAACACATATTTACATGTTCCTGACATAAGGAACTCATATTTACATGTTCCTGACATAAAGAACACATATTTACATGTTCCTGATATAAGGAACACATATTTACATAATCCTGACATAAGGAACACATATTTACATGTTCCTGACATGAGGAACAAATATTTACATGTTCCTGACATGAGGAACACATATTTACATGTTCCTGACATAAAGAACACATATTTACATGTTCCTGACATGAGGAACACATATTTACACGTTCCTGACATAAAGGAACACATATTTACATGTTCCTGACATAAAGAACACATATTTACACGTTCCTGACATGAGGAACACATATTTACATGTTCCTGACATAAAGGAACATATATTTACATGTTCCTGACATAAAGAACACATATTTACATGTTCATGACATAAGTAACACATATTTACATGTTCTTGACATAAGGAACACAATTTACACATACCTGACATAAGGAACACATATTTACATGTTCATGACATAAGTAACACATATTTACATGTACCTGACATAAGGAACACATATTTACATGTTCCTGGAACACATATTTACATGTTCCTGACATAACGAACACATATTTACATGTTCCTGACATAAAGAACACATATTTATATGTTCATGACATAAGGAACACAATTTACACATACCTGACATAAGGAACACATATTTACATGTACCTGACATAAGGAACACATATTTACATGTTCCTTTACATGTTCCTGACATGAAGAACACATATTTACATGTACCGGACATAACGAACAAATATTTACATGTTCCTGACATGAGGAACACATATTTACATGTTCCTGACATGAGGAACAAATATTTACATGTTCCTGACATGAGGAACACATATTTACATGTACCGGACATAACGAACAAATATTTACATGTTCCTGACATGAGGAACACATATTTACATGTTCCTGACATAAAGAACACATATTTACATGTACCTGACATAAGGAACACATATTTACATGTTCTTAACATAAGGAACACATATTTACATGTTCCTGATATAAGGAACACATATTTACATGTTCCTGACATAACGAACACATATTTACATATACCTGACACATATTCAAACCTGTATCTAAGGCCATGGAATATTTCAAACGTGAATGTATAACGCAACGGAAATTTGTTTTAAGGTTACATGTATCTAAAGCTAAGAAATGAATCAGTTTAACCATGTACGTTGTTGTACCTAAAGTAAGGAAGATGTTTTAGACGTGCATCTGAAATAAGGAACACCTAATTTTAGGCGTTTTTTTAAAGAATCCTTTTTAAATGTACATATGCTGTATCAAGAGAAAATCACGAAAAAAAAACAAAAATAACAAGTATTGCTGTCTCTAACGTGACAGACACATTAGGTGTGTATCTATATAGATGAAGTAAGAAATTTATCTATCTTTAATCTGAATCAAAATGTCTGTATTGCGAAGATGTGAATCGATATAAAAATAGGATATCGTATCTTATTTTAGTCACTACATACTCGTGACTTTTCTGCTGACATGACATGTTACTTTATGTGGTGCAATACAGTATAACGTTAATGATTAACGCCGCTTACACGAAGTCGAATTGTTACTCAGAAGAAACAACGACAACGACCTCATAATCCAGGCACCATGTGATGACGTAGCAACAACTATAAAAGCTCGTGTGCCGACCGTTGTATTCGGGACCCACAACACCACTCTACCTGAGGTGGCCCTCGCCTCTGGTCGGCAAAATGGTCGACTGGAAGCGGGTGTTATCGAAGTACAAATAACACAAACTGACAATTCAGCTTACTTCGTAAATCTCTAGGTTTTCATACCTAGGGAACCGTTCCCGGTTTTTGGGCCCGTGCCACTAGCGACCCCGCCTTCGCTGGAGACAGCGCTAAGGGGTAGGT